GTTTTTCAAAATTAGCCGTACATTGCAGACTAGTGGTGAGTTGGTATTCCCCAACATATTTTCATTGATTCCCCTCATCATAACTTTTTACTAATGTCAGATTGTGTTTATATCAAGGGAAAAATCTGATCAGCGATTCCTGGTTCCGTCTTGATGTGTTTAATGTTATTTTAAGTTAGTGTCATCTAGTCCAAAATGCATTGCATTGTCTAGTAGGGCAACATTGACAAACGTCTATCAGTAGTCCATGGTGTTTTTCAGATTCCAATTGGTTATGTCAAAATATTACAGCTAATAAATGACACTGACCAACCTGCCTGGATGAAAGTTTGTGTCTTGTGGTTTGATAAGTTGTTAATCTAAATATGGTAACTCTGAGCTCTAGCTACCTGGATGAATGACTCAGATAGACGAACGTAATAAACTGAGTTGAGTAGTCAGATGAGACCTTGGTAAGAGCGAATTGGGTCTCGAATTCCATCAAGAGATAGTATATGAGTACTATCGGGATAATAGGCTGATACGAAGCTTGGATACGTGGAGGAGTCTTTACAGAAGTGTGTAGGCTCTGTCGACGGATTTTTCAACAAATTCGCAGACTGTTACAGAAAATCTTCCCGAGACCTATGTCATACCTTTTTTAAAGTTCACAGGTGTTATAGAGCATTGAATGAGTCACGAAACAGCATGATTTAGAGTTATCTGAATAAATTTATGTACAGAAATAGGCTTAGACTATAGCTGGAGACTCTAATGAGGAGTCAGGAGGTTCTCTTCGGAAGCTTACGAGAAAGTATAACTATTTCTTAGCACTTTGATGTTTATAAAAGTCTTCTGAATTACGCGTGCTTCCCATGGGCTCATACGATTGGCTGATCGAGGTCATTAAGTCCTTTTATTTGAGTAGTTCTTTTGGGTACCTATGCTTTATAGTTACCTTAAATGTTTAGACTACTTAGTCTGATAATTCTACGATTACCGTAATCCATGATCCCATTGTAAATTTATCCTTTAATTGCTTTTCTGGTGCTCACTGTTATACCTTTCTCCCAGCACTTGGAAGATGCTGTATAAGTATTTGTTGGTTTTACCTTGTTGGAGATGCAAGAACCTGGTTTAATTATTTTTACAGAATTCCGGTATGTTCAGGTTATTAATGGTTTAAGTCCGTGTATGTGTGTGTGTGTGGTTGCAAAAGTAATCAGGCCACCAGTCTTGGGTTCCAAATCCTACCTTTTTTTCAGGGCCATGGACATTTTGGCTCATGCATAGAACGGACAGTGATAGTAACAGCGTCTTTCTTCTCTACACCACTTTTTACCCTAATCGCCATTCGTTTGTTTGTTTAGTTTAATTAGCTAGCGAATCAAATGTCCTGTGCATTCCAGTCATTCCCACTATTATTCCATCTTATTAAAATTCGGGGCCTCTCGGTATATCAACCTAACACCACCTTAGGCCGTTCCACTTGATTTTAGGGAGTCAGAGTAGTGTCAAAAGTGGTATTGGCTTCAAAGGTGGCAACCGTTCAGAGATATTCTACTTGTGAATTGAGGGAGAGTATCATAAATAATCAACGGCTAACTGGTATACAATTGAAACATTTAACATGCACAAGATAAATACAATCTCAAGGGTAAGGTAGTCAGTCATATACATGTTGGTGTTAAATGGGGATATTTCCAACTCAGTGTTCCTGTTAGCTTCCAGTCTATTGTATCTCTTCGTTGACTTCTGTGAGAAGGTACGATTTTGACATCTGTTTTATAGCACCATCTGTCAGCATCTTATTTCTTAAATGTTATTTTGGTACACATATGAGGATGAGCTTTCTTTATACTCCCTTATGCACTGTAGATACGGTGCATTACGAAGGCTACCTTTAAAGCTGCTTGTTATCTAGACGAGCGTACTGCTCCTCCAGTAGGTTTGGATAATGTGACGTAGTACACTGTCTTCATTTTAATGGCTTCTTAAGCTCTGAACTGAATTTTAAACATAGAACTTCTTACGAAAGTACAGAAGTGCAAGTTACCATACTTCATAATAACACGCATAGAGATTAAGAGAAAAATCGCAAAAGTAACTATTATTGGAAATGTGATGAAGGGAATAATTACTCGGGGAATAATAGGAATTTAATGAGCACGGGAGATCACAAATTGTAGATGCATCGGGATTGCTCAGTAAAGTTTTCATCCATGTCACCAGTTGTCTCTAACCGTTGATCCTTATCATCTTAAAGACCTCAGCCAAGCACTGCCTGCCTATGTGGCTTAAACCAATAGTGAGACTGTGGATTAATACCACATTGTATCTGACCTTCCTAATTCTCCTTACCTAGTAATATAGCAGCTTATATAGCTGGTAAGTGGTGTCTTGACACGTATAATTCATGGCCAAACCATCCAAACCAATATAACGACGTCGTCGTCGACTGATTCCCTCTTGTTACCTAACACTGTACCATTTTGCTTACGACATTAGTCTTTCATCGATGCGAATGACAACTCTCTATAGATTTTCACATGCCTGCATACATTCGAGCAGTATCTTGACTATTGTAGTGCGCTTTCTTGGCACACCTTTCCCCACCAGATATTGCTATAGTACCTCGATCGATGGAGTCAGATATCACCTTCATATGAAGAAAAGTGGGAATTGTTGGACGCTGGTAATTGTGGGCATGTCTCAGAACCTTTCGAAGGCGGAGTATACAATCAGCACACCCAGGTTCGGGAATATAATATTGTAACAATAGAAGACAGGGCCCAGGAAACAAATCGTTTATTTAGGAAATCAACAGATATTTATAGATTTTCATTTACATTATTATAGATTATTGTAAGCAAACAGTCTTCTGATTCGTGATTTCTCGTTGAACGTTAATCTTTCATCTCTTTGTGGCCGTTTCTTGAACTTCAGATTATCTACCTGCAAATTGTATCCGCCTACGCAGTCTACTGTGATTGGTTGTTTACTTTACTTACTTTACTTCGGCTATCTCCTACGGGAGGATGAGCCGGCTTCATGAACTCATGAAGTTTCATGGGAATTAGGTACAAGTGACGTCCCCAGCATCGCTCGGCCTTTTGTTTGGGAGTGCAGCTCTGGCCTTTACACAACCAACCAAGTGTGACCTACAAGACAGTAAGAGTGGAGTAGGGGGTCCACTATCCATTGGAAGCCGGTGACCGGAGTCCGGCTCATGTCTTTTTGAATGGGCCAGACACCCAGGACATCCAATAAGCCCTTTGTCCATACGTCTGCCGGTGAGCTCCAGTGAGCTTCATACGCCAGTCGTTGGAGGTTTGGAATCAGGGTTTAGCCATCTCCCCTAGACTGTCATCCAATAGACAGTCAACCCGGTGAAGAGCGCCGAGCATCCGCTTTTGCCCTCTCACTTCGGTGAAATAAACACCTCCGCCACGTGAGGGCAGTGAGTAGGATTTCCTCAGGAGAGGCTATGTAAGACGCCCGGTCATATGGGAGCATTTCAAGAGGTGTACAGAGGGGTGGCCAACCCGCAGCGCAAGGCACCCACCCGCGACCATCCTGAGGCTTTGGAGGCTTTGGTTGTTGAGTCAGTCTTTGTTCTTATTTTTCTCATGACCAATATTGGGGACGGAAACATTGACGCAAATTACTGTCTGCCAATTTGGCTAGCAGCCAGCTCTCACCACAGTATGAATGATGTTTTTCTTGAGCGCCTCATAGAATTATGAAATCTAAAAGTTAAGGTACTGTATTGTTCAATCTTTTCCTGTGTTTATCACTAGAAGAAATGTCTCCCCTCGTATAAGCTGGGATAATCTCCACCAGTCCAATAAAGCCATCTTAGATTCTCACACACGACTTGATATATTATTTAACCTACTCAGTTATTCATTACCATCATTCTTAAAAACATAGAGCTACACTATTAGGTCCCGTCGCTTTTCATCGATTTAGATTAGTGACAGCTTTTCTAGCAACGGCTACAGTAGGAAGATAAGGGTTTGAATCACATCCACTGATGTGTTGTGTGGTGGTATTTTCTGTGGTTTAGCTGTTGTGCAGTCAAATCGCTCCTCAAAATTTTCTCTCCAATGCTGTAGTCGTCTCTTTTGAGAGGTAATTGGTGTCCTGTTCTCTGAAATGAGTTCACTTGTCGAATTTTTATGATGTTTTTTTTCTAGTGAACTTGAGTAATTGTCGAGTATTACTTTCTGCTGATGCATTTTCCATCTTCACTTTTCGTAACTCATCACTTTTCCTGGTTTTTGTAAAAAGCTCTATTCGGCCTGTTTCAATAGCTTTCGCTCCTCACCATATTTACAGCCCATTGGTATCAGTCTCTTCTCGCGTTAGGTCAAATAAGGTTACATAGGTCTCTTGGCTTTTACTGACTTAGTTTCAGGCTATGGACAGCTTACACCACAATTTCGAAGCTGGCTGATATGATGTTGTGTTTCTTTAATATGGTCATTGCTGTTATTTTGAGTTTTGTTTAGTCATTTTCATAAACGAAGAATTTATTCGCTGTACGCAAGTTGGACGCGTAACGGTTCTGTTACATCTTGTTTCCTGTGTCTTTTCAGTCATAAGTATGCGCGTGTGCGAACCAGTGCCTGATGGGAACGCATACGGCTGCTCCAGAATAAGTGAAGAGTTTCTACGACCCTGTCCACCGATAAGTTATAGCTAGATGATATGTGTCTACCGTTGACTCTATGATGCCTGTTACTTAGGTGAGAAAGTGTCTCTCATCAAATTAGTGTTGGCTAGAAACAGGTCATCTGAACAAAATTGTAAAAGATGTTCACTGTAGTCGGTTCGTCTGCTCCATAAATGCCTCTACACTGTCTCAGCTTTCCCACTTTTGCCTTGGAATCCTTTACTAGGACGATTATGCTTGACCATCTTGCGTTTAGACGGAAACTAGACAGCTTTTGGTAGGACTCATTCTTTAATTCGTCCAAACTAGAGTCAGCTGTTGCGCAAGCAAAGATTATGAAAAGACATCGACCAGTATCACAATCTTTCCTTCTTCTGAAGGACCTACTCAGCCGTACAGCATACGCACAGAACTCTCCATTGGAATTCAGTCGAACAGCGAATTTTCCGTTCTAACACTTAGTGTTGTTGCTATAGCAAAATGTCCACACGAACCAGTCCAGAGTTCTCACTATGATGCCTGTTGTCTTTTTCAGCATAAGGTCCGGAATTTGGAATCTTCAGTAAGTAGTTGGGATGACACAGAAAGATGAAGTTGGGTGGTGTTTGGGCAAGTTCTGTGTGTGCTTTCAAGAGTGTGTAGATGGTTATTGTTACGAAGGTGATTGAGTCTTAGAACGATGAGTGATGCTTGAATCTTGAAAAGACGAATGAACCAAGAATTTAGGCTTTATTCATTTTACAATGAAGCCGGAATGGCTTAAACATATAAAGGAAAAAAAGAGTGTTAATAGCGGTAGAGATATGAATATGACTAGATACGTATTATAAGAAAAGTTCACAACATTCACTGCGGCTTGAAAAGGAATGAGCCATTATGTCACGCTTCTCTGGTACGCAAATTGTAAGGCCGTACACGTTGTTGTTTTTCCAAAAGAATACGCCCGTTGTTCGTTTCAGTTGTATTTTCTTCACGAAGAATATTAGGATCAGTGGTCGCATCCCCATTTACTTGTTGCTCAGGAATTGCGTCGCCCTCCGGTATTGAATTTTCAACTTGATCTATATCTTCGCCTTTGGGTGCCAGATGATGAAGAGCAACTGTATCTTCACGTCCATTACCGAAGCGAACGTGAGCGAATTGCGGGTTACAATTCAATAGCTCCACCTCTTCAACCAGGGGATCGAATTTGGACTGACGAACACTCCGCCGGAGAAGTACTGGTCCTGGTACAGTGAGCCAAGTAGGAAGAGTTGTCCCAGATGTCGATCTTCGGTTATAGGTAAACAGTCGTTCGTGTGGCGTGGCGTTCGTTGCAGTACAGAGCAAAGATCTGATGGAATGCAAGGCGTCGAGTAGAACAGACTCCCATTGTGCCGTTGGTAGGCCCCGTGATCTTAATGCTAGAGTGATGGCACGCCAAAGTGTTCCATTGAGGCGCTCGACCTGCCCATTGGCTTGAGGATTGTATGAGGTAGTACGACTGGTTGCTACGCCTTTCTCCAGAAGAAATGCCCGTAATTCGGTAGACATGAAAGCAGCGCCTCTGTCGGTATGTATGTAAGAAGGCATACCGAAAATCGAAAACAGTTGGCAAAGGCAATTCATTACCGTTTGAGACGACATGTCGGGGCAGGCGAATGCAAAGGGGAATCGAGAATATTCATCGATCAGCGTGAGCAGATAGTGATTGCGGCTAGCTGACGGTAGAGGTCCTTTAAAGTCGATGCTTAACCTTTCAAAAGGTTGGGTTGCTTTTATGAGTTTGAAATTAGAGGGATTGTAAAATTGAGGCTTTAACTCACAGCATGTCACGCATTTACTGGTTACATTGCGCACCTCGTCAAGGGAGAATGGAAGGTTTCTCGAGCGTACAAAATGCATCATTCGGACAACTCCAGGATGGCACATAGAGTCATGGAGAAATTTCAAGTCGCACACTGACTGCAAGGAACCGCAGAAACTACGGGAAAATGTATCAGCAGCTTGATTATCCCTTCCAGGACGATAAATGATGTCATATTGATAAGGGGATAGCTCAATTCTCCAACGCATTATTTTATCGTTCTTGATTTTGCCTTTATGAATCTTGTCAAACATGAATGCTACTGAACGTTGATCAGTGACAAGTTTGAAGTGATTTCCGAGAAGGTAATGCTTCCACTTACGAATTGCTTCAACCACGGCATAGGCTTCTTTCTCAACCGATGAATGATGTTTCTCACTTCGAGAGAGGCTTCGAGAAAAGAAGGCGACAGGTTTACCATTCTGGTTTAATGTAGCTGCAATTGAGACATCTGAAGCATCTGTTTCAACAACAAGGGGTGCTTTCGGATCAACTACCACAACGACTGCACGTTCTAAGTCGTCTTTCAGTTTGTCAAAAGCATTTCGAGTTTCGATATCAAGAGGGAAAATCCGATTATTTACCAATGGGTGGATTTTATCTGAGAAGCGAGGGATCCACTGTGAATAATAAGCAAATAATCCAACGGCCCGTTGTTGAGATTTGATATCTGTGGGTGGTTCTAGATCACGAAGAGGTTTTAGCCGATCGGGATCTGGTTTAATAACCCCCTTTGAAACTTCATAACCGAGTAATTGTATGCTTCTGCTTGAGATCACACTTTTGGAATCATTAAGGGTTATTCCATAATTGCGTGCTGCTACCATAAACTTGTTTAGATTTTTGTCGTGTTCCTCCTGAGTTTTGCCGCAGATAGTGACATTGTCAATGTAGGCAAACGTGCTTGTGAGTTGTTCTTTACTGATCAATTCATCGATAATGCGTTGAAAACAAGCTACGCCATTGGTAACACCAAAAGGAATTCGGCAAAATTGGTAAAGTTTCCCACAAGCCTCGAAAGCAGTATATGGTTTATCTTCGTTCCTTAGGGCAATTTGATGATAAGCATTCTTCAGATCAAGAGTGCTGAATATGTCATATTGTGCGATTTTTTCTATCATTTCGTCAATCCTAGGTAATGGGTAAGCATCCAGAAAAGTGAATCGATTGATTGTCTGACTATAATCAACTACCATCCTCTTTTTATGGCGTTCGTTTGACGTAACAAGAACTTGAGCTCGCCAAGGAGAATTAGAAGGTTCAATAACACCTTCTTGCAGTAACCGGTTGACTTCGGTGGAAATAAAACTTTCATCTTCACGAGAATAACGCCGGGATTTTATCGCGATCGGTTTACAGTCTTTTGAAAGATTTTCAAACAGGTAGGCAGGTCGACGCGAACACAAGGTAGACCACAGAGAGAAAAAGGCGGCTTTGATCCCCCAAAAGGAATCTCAATGTGTTTGTGAAGTTTTAAAAAATCATGTCCAAGAAGGACGTCTGCACATAAATTATGAAGAATGGAAAATTTGAATAGATCATAAGTGTGGTTTTTATAGCAGATGGATAGAAAACAATGTCCTTCAGTATGACTAGTAAGATTCGTACTCGCCATTGTGATTCTGTTTCGAGACTTATGGACTTTCCAGTTATACTTACGAACAACTGAGGAAGAGATGTAGCTCTCACTGCTTCCGGTATCCACTAGAGCTTGCATTGATTTCCCATTGACAGTAAGCTGCGTAACAGCATCAGTGAGACTTTGAGGTGCTGAAGCCACAACGAGAGATGAAATTATAGAGTTAACTGAAGATGGACCTTTTTTCGTAGATGGCGCAGACCTGCAAACCTTCTGAAAATGTCCTTGCTTGCCACAAGCTTTGCAAACTGCATCACGGGCGGGGCATTTGGAACGAGGATGTCTACGATTACCACAGAAAAAGCATTTGGATTCAACGGCAGCAATGGTTGTTTCATTGACGGAGGGTGTGGAATCTGATGAATGAGGTACATCATGTAAAGAAATGGACGCGCAAGGTGTAACAGGATTGTTGTATGACTGCGATTGTTGATGTGCCATCTCTAGAGCTCGTGCTTGATCGTATGCCGCTTGAAAAGTTAAAGTACGCTGTTCTAATAGCCTCTGGCGTATCATCGAAGACTGTATACCTGAGATGAATGAATCACGTAGAGATTCGTTACGATGTTCTTCGGCTGTAACTGCCCTGAATGAACAATCTGTAGTCAGCGACTTGAGTCGACGAACAAACTGATCCAGATTTTCGCCAGATTCTTGTTTACACGTTGCTAACAAGTGTCGAGCAAACACTTCGTTGCAAGGCTGCATGTAGAGACTCTTGAGAGTGTCGATAGCTTCTTCGTATGTTTTGCATTCAGAAATGCATTCGTATACAGAAGTAGAAATATGATTGAAGAGAATATGTAGTTTCGAAGGATTTTCGGATCCCATTGATTCAATGAAGTAGGAAAAAGTCGCAAACCAGTGATCCCACTTCTTGGCAGCTCCAACTGCGTTAGGTTCTACGTCGAACCGATCAGGTCGGAAAAATCGTTCCATGAATATTGTAAAATGAATAAATTGTTACGAAGGTGATTGAGTCTTAGAACGATGAGTGATGCTTGAATCTTGAAAAGACGAATGAACCAAGAATTTAGGCTTTATTCATTTTACAATGAAGCCGGAATGGCTTAAACATATAAAGGAAAAAAAGAGTGTTAATAGCGGTAGAGATATGAATATGACTAGATACGTATTATAAGAAAAGTTCACAACAGTTATTACTTTCCGGTTGTTCACACACTGGAAGTAGATTTCTTCTCGAAGTACTTGAAAGCAAAAGAGCATTAGAGCTGTGTGGTCTCAGGGCCCATCTAAAAATTACTTTAGTCTCACCACACTACCTGTTTAGAGTGGTTTTTTGAGTTGTCATCGTACTAAGATCTTACCACCAGCTATGTATCTTCATGAGGTAACTTAGGGTGTGCAGTTTTTGTGTGTTTAAGCCATAGTTCTCTTGAAAGATGAAAAAGTTCTCATTCATCTTATCGTAAAGTTATGTTTTAGGTTCACTGACATAACCTAACCATAATCGACTTGGGGTCTTAGAAGTAGATTTTCTTTCCCAAACTATTTTTACTCAGAGCTTCTAAAGCACAGTTTCTTGGTTTTAACAACCGTTTGGGGTTTTTCATACCGTGATGATACATCTAAAACATCTACACCTCTCCCTCAAAAGAGTTTGCGAAGGTATTCAATTTGATAATTTTGTCTTTGAGTCTCAGTTGCCACTTTTCTTTTGTAGAGATACTTTTGGTCAAAAAACTTCAACTGGATACAAAATAATTCCACAAATTACATAGTGAATAACGAATCTAGTAAATTATTTCAAAAAGATTCGTATTCTCTATGGATCGTGGCGCTAAACGGGCCAGATATAGTTCAGAAGAGGAGGACAATGGTAACAAGCATGAAAATTCTAGAAAGGATGACTCGTCGAAAAATCCGGATAAAATTGCCAACATATTTGGCAGAACTGGTGGTGCATATATTCCTCCAGCTCGACTTCGCCAAATGCAGGCCCAGATTACAGACAAATCCTCTGAGGCATATCAACGAATTGCTTGGGAAGCCCTCAAAAAGTCTATTCATGGTTTCATCAATAAAGTGAATGTGTCCAATATATCAGAAGTTGTTAAACAGCTTCTCATGGAAAATATTGTTAGAGGTAGAGGTTTATTTGCCAAATCTCTTCTTACTGCACAGTCTGCATCGCCCACTTTTACTCATGTTTTCTCTGCTCTTGTTGCTGTTGTAAACTCGAAGTTTCCCAAGGTGAGTAATACACAACTTATCGACTTATAAGTTTATTTATTTAGCATCTAAACCCAGTTAGTTACTTTATGCCGACTGTCTAGTCAAGTAACTGATTATAGTTTCAAGTGTTGTAACTGACTGCTATTATTTTAGGTATATGTCTTTTGATGCAAGCCATATTCTCTAGATACCTAGATTCAGGCAACCCCCATTAAGTAGGTAAACTTCACTAAGAAATGTATTTGATTTCTTAGTTGCATTTTGTACTACTGTGGATGAAGGAGAATGATGCTGGGGGAGGCTTCTTGTGCTCTTGGAAGTGTGTGAGCGGTTGTTACTTCCCGGCTACCCACACCGTGGAAGTTGTTTGATTCTTCGGGTGCCTGAGACAGAAAGAGGGTTAGTGTTGCGTGACCGTAGAGCCCAGGGGACAACTGCTTGAGGCTGGTCACACACGGCCTGTATGAACTGGTTTCTTGGTTTGGTTCCGTATTAGTGAACTTATCGCCGGTTACGAACCACCGTAGGGTAAGTCAGGGTGTACAATTTTCGGGGTCGACCTTTTCTGACCCCACCTCTCCAGAGTCTTTTGTCTTTTGTACTTTTGCTGTTAACTTTCTGATTGTTGAACTTCAGTTACATTGGTGTCTCCGCTTGTTTTGAAGACTTTCACCTTGTTGTTGAAGGTTCCTTGGACCCACATCTGCTCCACTTCTCGACTTTGTGTGCAGCAGACTGCGTCTTCACTTCCTTGAAGTTGAAACGAAGTCTCTCCGAATTTCGGTGTATCTGTCGGATGAATAGCATGTCGTCTTGTGTATATCCACATGCTTGTAATCACTGCCTCCAATCAACAAATCATTAAAGGAGCAGAAGTCTGCGAAGAGTTCTGCGTTTTCACTGATTTCTCCGAAAGTCTCTCTACCCATGTCGAATTTTCTGCCTCTATTGTCGAATTCCAGTTTGTTTGGCATTCATATATAACCCATTAGGATTTTGATGTCGCCATTTGGGATGTTATCCATTATTGTTTGTAATTGTTTATAGAAATCTTCCCTCTTCTGCACCTGGTCTGAGTTGTTTTTGTCATTGCGTATAGTATTTGATAGGTGTGTGCTACCAACCTTCCTTTCGAACAGAGTGTCACTGTCTTCACTACAGAGAGATTTGGCTGCCGCTGGTGTTACCATGAGATCCATTCCCTCAGTATGCTCGTGGTTGTCATCTGGGTGATCGGAGTAGATTGTTCACTCTCCAGTTAATAATTTTGACAATCCACACCGAATCCATCTGCTCTCACAGATTACGAGCAATTCTATACTATATCATCTTATTTCTGTAACAAATTGGGCAACCTTGCCAGCTTCGTACATTGTGTGAAGATAGATATAGAGGGCTAGTTTCGCATATGCCAGTTTACGCTGTCTCTTGCGTAGACGTGATATCCAGCTATCGACCAAAGGGCGGGTGTACTGCTCACCAGTTCGCTCCGTCCTCCTTTATGGCTGCAAATGAGACCTGGCCATTGGGAGTGGAAGACACGAAAAGATTAGCTGTCTTCGACCATAGGTGCCTGCGTTCTATCTCCCGTGCGAAGTGGTATAATAAGGTGAGCGATATTGAGGTTAGGCGTCGAGTGCTAGGTAAGGTGGGAGGAGAAATCAATCGATGAGGCTGTGAAGTTACATCGATTGAGATGGTTAGGACATGTGTTTCGTATGCCTGGTCATCGCCTTCCTCGACGAGCAATGTTAGGTGACATAGGATTGATCAGGCTGGTAAAGAGCTAGCGGCGGTCAAACCAAAACATGGCACCAGTCAATGAAATCTATAACAGTTAATTTAAACCGGCCACGTAGGAAAGTGTAGACTTCCTGACTGGTTGGGATCCTCGAGACGGTAAAAACCAATGGTTGGAAACAATTGGTGATATGGCTCAAAATCTTCGTTCTCAATGGCTCAGATGCATCCACTCCTTGTGACTTTTGATTTCCAATGAAACTGTATTGTTCTTCGTTATTATTATTCCTTTGTCTCACACCTCTGTTTACTGTCTCTAATATGCATTTCTTCTACTTTCTTCTGTTGCTTTTTGTGATACAAGGAGGGAGTGTGGCGACTTGAACTGGTGCACATATGTGCAAAGTTGTATGTCGAAAATAGACAGACAGACATCTCATATCTCCAATCCCAGCGAAGAATAAGTTTGCTTTTTTGTATTTTTGTTGGGCTTTGGGGTTTCTGTAGAGATGAGATTAACTCTCCGGGGTAGGGGAACTAGTTCCAACTTCTAACATTCCTTTTTTTATGGCATGTCAGCTGTCTAGTATCATTTTATCAGTGATGTGCACTGATATTTCATCTCTACATCAATAAATTATCTACCAAGATTACTTGATTGTAAACATGTTATCTGTTCTTTATGAAGATAGCTTGTTTCTTTTCATGCAGCTACCTAAGAACTATTGAAGTAATTTGCTAAGTTCTTTGTTTTACTATGCTTGTCTGTCACAGTGGAAAAGACAATCAATGTTCGGAATGCATCAGGATTTATATTTCACAATTTTACTCGGTGTTGGAGTGACTACTTACAAATACTTAGGAGTAGTCTGTTGTATCCGACATAATTAATTAATATTTTTTGTGAATAGTTTTTATTTTCATGGAGAAATCATCATACGTCACTTTTCTTCCTCTTCATGGATATGAATATCATTCAATTTAATATGTCATGGGTTCTGATTTAGAATAAGTGTGCTGTTTTTTGTCTGCCGAACAATAAAGCTTTTAAGTGTTAGTTTTCAGGGATATGATTGGTTACAGAATTTCATCATGATCTGATGTCGGTCAGAGCGCGAACCATTGGAAAAGCAGAACCAGAGTACTGGACAGCATTTTCGTCCCACTAGTTTGGGACTCTACTCCAGCAGTAGATACCCACCTACCAACCGGGTTTGAATCTCAGTACGTTCCAGTTACAAAGCGGCGAGCTCGTAGACCAATTCAGTTATTGGGACTAGACCCGATTCAATGACCAGTTCATAAATTCCAACTTCTGCCAATAATTCACGATATAACGTGACTGCTACTAGCCAGTGTCATGCTTGGCGTCCAGTATTTGCTCTCATACTCGTCGACTTACTGTACCCCACTGATCACAGAGTAGAATTTTTTTTATTTTATTTTCTTTATAGCTTGATTCCACACTGTATTTTTGGTACAGGTATGGAATTTTCAGCATTTGATAACGGTAGCCCATATTTTACAGGCTGACCATAGATATCAGGTGTGCGTCGGCGGAGGATCGAACCTTGGACCATGTGCATGGTCGGCGAGAGTCCTAACCACTGTGCCACCGACGCACTGAACAGTATCCTAACAAGTGTGTCTGTCTACAAAGAAACGTAAATTCTACTGATTGATTAGTTGTTTTCTATAGGCAGATTGTCTTTGTCTTCAGTCAGTGTGTGTCACAGTTATGTTAAACTGAAATGCGTTAATTCATACGTCATGTAATGGGCAGAAATGCTGTTCAAATATTTCACGTTAAAGTGAGTGTTATCGTAACAGTAACTTGTAATCTGATTCAGTGAAAACGCTAGCTGTCTTTGATCATAGATGTATGCGTTGCATCTCTCGCGTGTTAGGTGATCATTATTGAGGCTAGGCTTTGGTTGAGCGTCAGATAAGGAAGGGCAAACAAACGACGACGTTGTGAAGTTACATCGATTGATTGAGATGGCTAGGACATATGTAGTACATGCATGCCTACCCATCGCCTTCCTCTGTGGCTGGCAATGTTAGCTGACTGATATAAGATGGATCAGGTAGGAAAAGAGCTAGTTAGTGGTGGTCAGGCGATAACATAGCTTCATCATATATATATATATATATATATATATGGTAAGAGCAGGCTGCTAGCCAATTGGTGGACATTAATCTGCGTCAATGTCTAGGTCACTAATATTGGCCGTGAGAAAATATGAACAAGGCTGACAGTACAAACAGTAGGCGGGCATGTGTTGCGTATCACAGGTAGATCGAAGTGTACGGTCGTTGTTGGCGACATATGACAGCATAGACAGGTCAAATGGCACAGCGTCTTGGAAGAAATCGGTTGAACGATTGGTGTCGGAGTTTGACAGCACAACAGACAGACAGCTAGCAATGCAGCAGTTCCGTTCAACGAAACTGGGACCTGATGGAAACCCGTTAGTGTTGGCGGTGAAATTGAAGATTTCACTTCGACGTGCGCTCCCCGCTTTGGATGAAGAATCAGAAGCGCAGTTACTGTCTTCCCAATTCATCGACAGTGTCCCAGACCACATTTCTCAGCGATTACAACTGGTTAACACAATGCAGCCGATGGATATTAGTGAGCTGTCGAAGGTGACCAGACAGCTGCTGAGCACAACTGTAGCCGCTATAAAGCAACCAAAACCAAACGAATACGAGCAGAAAATTGAAGCGTTACAGCGGGAAGTGGCGGCGTTAAAGTTGGGCGATAGAAAAGACCGATGTTTTGAATGCTGTAAGCCGAGACCCTGGAGGAGATACTGCTCAGAAAGGCGAAAAAGAAAAAGTTTCAGACGGTATAATACGTGTCCTTTCTCTCGTATGAAACTAGATTTAGTGGGGGCTATTGAGAAAGGGGCTGTATATTCGAAGTTGCGAGTGAATGAATGAGAAGTAGTATGTTTAGCAGATACAGGGTCGGCCGTGTCTTTAATACATAAGAACTTATTTAAGAATGTTAGTCCTTGTTCTTATTTTCTCACAGCCAGTATTAGTGACCTAGACATTGACGTAGATTAATGTCTACCAATTGGCTAGCTGCCTGCTCTCACCATATATATATATATATATATATATATATATATGTTTTTACTCATGTCATTATGTTTAACATCTTATGAATATAGATATTTTTCTTCGCATTATATTTACTGACAGATTGGTGAACTGGTTCTCAAAAGGCTAATCAATGAATTTCGTAAAGCATTTCGTCGTAATCAGAAAGATCGTTGTCTATCGACAGCACGATTTTTAGCTCATTTAGTTAATCAAAAAGTTGTTCATGAATTAATCATACTGGAATTACTGACTCTTCTTCTGGAACAAACCACTGATGACAGTGTTGAAGTCGCTGTGTCTGTATTGAAAGAATGCGGTGCTATGCTATCACGTCTTGTACCTAAAGGTATACATGGAATATTTGAACATCTACGACGTATTCTAAATGAAGGTCAATGTGACAAACGTATTTCTTATATGCTGGAAGTTATGTTTCAGGTAAAGTTGAAATCTTTTGTTTTGTTTTTTTCTTTGTGGTATTTACTTTTGTGATATGGTGTTGTTATTATGTAATATTGATTGGAGAGATTACTTTGTCAGACTTGACTTCCATTAGATATCATAGAGAAGATTTGTAACTCAGGTGGATGATTTTGATGTGGTTTTGTTCTCTGAGCTGGATGGTTAGTTTGCGAAGCTTTCATCACCTCTACTGGGTGACATCTTCAACGCATACTTCAATTTGAAGTGAGCTTTTAGATTTCTCCACGAGCTTATTATTCATCTCTCCTGGTGACCTTAGACCTGATTGGTTTTTTTTGTGTTTTCACATCTTCTAGGCTACTTGTAGTATTGGAAGTGATTGTTTCTTTAATTTGAACTTTGACCCTTTGCGTGTGAGGTTTCTTTCTTATCGGTTGATAAATTTTGTCTATCTCGATGTGTCTATTGATTGATGATTCAGTGGAATGCCAGCGAGCTTCTAAAAATTCTCTAGCATTCTTGTTGTTCCCTCTGTCTAGTATTTGGGCGTTGTCCCAGTCGAATTGATGTCCGTGGTTGTCTGTATGTAGTGATATGAGCTAGGGAGTGGATGTCATGTCTTTTGACGGCTAGCTTATGTTCGTGGATACGAAGACGAAGGGGACATCCACTTTGGTCAGTGTAGTGTTTTTCTTCGCAGTTGTTGCAATTTATTTTGTAGATGATGTTGCTTTTATCTTCTTTCGTTGTTGAGTCTTTTGGTTGACATAGGATTGAGTGAAGTGACTTTGTTGGTTTGTGTACGATGTCAATTCCTAAAGGTTTGAAGAGTCTTGTAGTGATTTCTGAGATGTCGTTTACATATGGTAGGGCGATTTTCTTTGTGCTTTCCTTCGGGGATTTTGGTTTGATAGGTTGGCTTTTGACATTTAGCCTATATCCTTATAAATGAATCTTTTTGACTAAGGCTTAGTAATAGTCTTATCCTGATTTAGTTGATAAAATTCACTACGCATACAGAAGGCTTGCTTGACATATGCCAACTTACGCCATCTTTGACGTAGTAGGCGTGATATCCAGGCTGGTTGTCGCTCTCTGTCCTAGTCTATGGATTGCTGTGAATAAGACATGACCCTTTGAAAGTGGGAAACATGAAAAGACCGGCTAGCTGTCTTTGATCATAGTTACCTGCATTCTATCTCCCGTGCTAGGCGGTAAGTGTAATAGGGTGGGTAATATTTAGGCTAGGCTTCAGTCGACGGCTAGGTAAGAAGGGAGATCCATTTACGAGGTTTCGCAGATTGAGAGAGATGGTTAGGACATGTGTAGTGCATGAATGTCTAGTCATCACCTTCCTCGATGACGGGCAATATTAGTTGACTGACATAAGGATGGATCAGGTTGGTGATGAGCCAGTTATTGGTGGTCAAATGTTGACATGGCTTCATCAGTCAATGAAATGCATAATAGTTAGTTTGAGCTAGGCAGCCAGCCAGCCAGTGAATCAAGTAGGGAGGTGTAGACTTGTTGGCTGGTTGGGCTCTGTGGAATAGTAGTAACCAATGGGTGGAGAGTGTGCGTCGGTGGCACAGCGGTTAAGACGCTCGCCGATCATACACATGGTCCGGGGTTCGATCACCGGCCGACTCTCTTCTTTACCTCGCTAAGCCAGAAATAATACTGATAAAGAGGAAGGGTTGGGCATGAGGCTAGCAACCCCATCCTGTAAAAATAAACACTGATACAGAAACTTCAAGCCACTAGTATTCACTAACATTGATCGTCTGTGAATTTACTGAGGAAATCGACTTTACGCATACAGGAAAATTGTACTGTGTAACAGTGTTCTTCCTTCCTTCCTTCTACTATGTGGATGTAAAGATCTATTGTAGAAATGCTGCATGTCAAGTAATCCACAACGGGAAACTTACGGAATCCTTCGAAGTGAGGACGGGAGTGAGGTAAGGCTGTTTATTATCGCCAATGATTTTCCCGATTGCAGTAGATTGGATAATGCGACAGACAACGGGCAATGAGGAAACAGGCATAAAATGGACTCACACAAAAACTTGGAGGATCTGGACTTCGCCGATGATATATGTCTTATTTCCCACAAACTGGAAGATATGCAAATGAAAACCAACAAGTTGAAAGAAGAAACATCCAGAGGAGATAGGACTTTACTTCAGGTGAACATAGAGAAAACAGGGGTGATGAAGATTTCTGGCCAACACCAACAGCAGCAACAACAACAGACAACAATCAGCATAAATGGGAGGAACCTGAAAGAAACAACCTCTTTTACCTACCTGGGAAGCATCGTTTCAACTACAGGCGGGACTGACGAGGATATCAAAACATCGAGGATCGGGAAAGCAAGACTAGCTTTCATCACTCTCAAGTCTGTGTGGAGGTGAGCACCACTCAGCTTCAAAAATTACATCCGGATTTTCAACTCCAATGTGAAGTCAGTGCCAGTCACTATACGAATCAGAGACTTGGCACGTCATAAAGAGCATCTCAAACAAACTACAGACGTTCATCAACAGCTACCTGTCTTCGCTCAATAATAAGATCAGATGGCCTGCCAGAAAAGATCAGCAACAGGGATCTCTAGCAATGAGGAAACCAACCAGGAACCGATTGTGAAACAAATAGGCAGGAAGAAATGGAGATGGATTGGCTGGGCATACTCTGAGGAAACCATCAAGTGACATCACTAGAGAAGCCATTGCTAGAGTAGAACCCGAAAGGGAAGTCGCGAGTTGGTCGTCAGTGCAAGGGTGACTGGGAGGAGGTCATGTGAAGAGGAGATGAAAGCATGTGGGCAGACTTGGAGTGGAGTGAAAACGTTGGTAGAAAACCGAAGGCAATGGAGACGCGTGGCTGAAGCCCTATGTTCCTCTAGGAATTGAAAGAAATAATAATAATTGTGGAAATCAAAATTCAGTAAGCTTTGATTGCTCAACAAATCTTCGTTTATTCGGGTGCTTCTTGACGTGATACACACCAGTATACACACCTTGTAATTCGCCACTGTAGTTATTATGGGAGTAGAACCAGATTGGAAGAAGTGTACAAGTTTATAAAGTCATTGACATTTGGTAAGAGCTATGTGTGACAGACCGCCGGAATACCTGTGCAGGGAGAATGTTAAACTGAATATCTAAATGTCCCCGGTTCGATCCCGGGTTCTAGCAAGTGTATACATATTGTGCGTCGATGGTTCAGTGAAATGACACTGGCCAACCAAGCAATCAGTTTGGACTTCAATCTCCAGCCAACGTACTTCTTTCCCTCACCTTGCCGGTAGTAAACTAGGTAAGGAGATATGGTTATGTATGAGGCTAGCAAACCCATCCCTTAAAAAACATCACTCCTACTCGAACTTCAAAGCTCTGCCTATCACTTCTGAGTATGACTGCTCCAAACTTGATAGCTTTCTGTTAGACATCAGCAAGTGGTCTAAGTCAAATGGTCTTATGTTAAATCCTTCCAAATGTCAGGCAGTTAACTTTACTTTCAAGCATCCACGTGACTTACTTGAACTAGTTAGTTCCCATGAAACCTGGTTGTAGCATAGATAGCACTGAAATTGAAACCAAGTCAAGCATTAAATACCTTGGATTAGTTCTTTCCTCTGACTTTTCATGGTCATCCCACATCTTATCAATCTCTAAGAAAATATTTCGTCTTACCTTCTACATTAAAAAGTTAAGACAATCAGGTATCAGCTAACCTTTAGTTTTGAAATTTTTAAACTCCTGTATTTTACCTATTGTACTCTATTGCTCTCCATTAATCCTTCCTGGGCTTCTCAAAAAAGACTATATCATATTAGGAAGGGTATTAAATGCTGTGATTAGGGCTTGTGGTCTGCCACTGCGTGAGCTCGCCAATATTATAGTCAAGAGATACATAAATTCCTGTACAAAATGGGCAAAGGCTATACTGTCAGACCCCCTGTACCACCTTTATTCACAACCATCCCCTTGTATCATCAGGTAGGACGAGAAGTCAATATAAGAAGTTATATGCTCGTACCACTAGGTACAAAAATTCTACAGTACCCTATTTAGCCCGTATTTTATGTGATGAAGACTCTGTTAGACGTGAAACGTATAAGTTACTATGTAATTAGCATAGTGAATCGACCCTTTCATAGTTCATCTTTCTGTAATTTTATGGTATCACCCTTTCTATCGTTTAATTATAACTTAGCTGTTTTATTTTAGTTGTTATTACTATTAGTACTGCAAGTTTATACTCTATGCATATTTTTCTCCTTATCGCATACAGTAATTTGCTACATAGCTGCTATAACAGCGTTTTGTTATTTTTATTATGTAATGTTTTTTTGTCGTTTTGAGTAAATTAGATGCAATATTGTACTGAATGGAGAAAATTCCTTGTTGTATCATTAGTACTGTTTTTGGAATAAAGCAAAATTTATTATTATTATTATTATTAACTTGAAGTCCACTGGCAACTCAAGGGAATGGAATAAAGTGTATAGCAGTAGTCATTTTGCAGATTTATTCAAGCACTTATTATTCAAAATAGGGGAATCCGTATCTTGTTGTTAGTTTAGCCCAACGTCGCTTCACACCGATGTAATTTTCTGACGCTGTAATCTTCGTTTTCTTTTGGTCTTCAACTTCAAACTACTTAATACACTAATGAGTAGTATAGGTTTCTGTTTTTAATTGACAGTTTTCTTGCTGACACGCGCTTATTTGTTTCTTTTCAATTAACTACATCTCAATTTATTATGCTGATATGCCGTTTTGCCTGAACTTCTGAACACACAGGTTTGGCTCCTTCAGCTGCATGTAGAAGACGAACTCGTCAAGCAAAATTAAGATTAGCAGTCATGCGATAAATAATTTTAAAGGCTGTATTAACGTCAACCTTATGCTCACTATCTACAAGGTGTGCTAAAATAGAGCTATGAAAAGATCTTGTTTGTCCCTTGCCTAACCATGCTGAATGATGTTCGGAAATACGATGATGAA